TTCATAGTGGAAGGGCTGTACATGCGGGTGCGTGAGCGCCTCAACATCACAGTGCATCACCAGGAGTTCGTCGAGGGCGACCCTGACCACTACACCAAGCTACTGCGGGCCGTGCGGCGCAAGGGCAGAGGTGAGGTGGCCACCCACCCGGACGCCTGGCCCGCGCGGCCTTCTCTCCGGCCTGTCCACGGCCTGGCAGTCCTCCCTCCTTTGGGAGCCAGGCCTTCTCCTGGCTGTTTCTCTTAGAGTCTAGCCCAACACGACTTCCCTACCTCGAAGTTTCTAGTCCCTCTCTTGCAACCCTTGGCGCCCGGTTTGCATTCCTACCCTCTCCCCATCCCCCACCCCTTTCCTCCGGTCTCCCCGTGACCTTCCTGCTTCGGACTTTCCTGAGTTAAGCGCGGAAAGGCCTAGTTCTAGCGCTGCTGCGTCCTCTGCTTGGTTCCCGGCTCTTCTTCCTCCTGTTTCCACTGTACCCTACCAGGTTCTCCCTCCTCCAGTTTCTCTATTGCTCCCACTCGAGCTCTCGGGCCATTCTCTTGATTCTTCCTGCATTCTTGGTCCCCCACCTTCTGTCCCCTCCTCCCACCTCTCCCTCCCTCCCTCCCTCCTCTGCACACCTTCTCCCATCTTTCACACTCCCTTGCCCAGAGTCAGCCAGGAGTTGGTGCCATGTAAAGACTACAAACTCAGAATTACCAACCTTGCCATGCCTTGTGTGTTCATTCATGTGCTCTCTCTCTCTCTCTCTCTCTCTCTCTCTCTCTCTCTCCCTCCCTCTCTCTCTCTCTCCCTCTCCCTCTCCCCTCCTTTCTCTCTTTCCTTTCCCCTCCTCTTTCTTCTCCTTTCCCTCCAGTTATCTACATCTGCAGTTCTCCGGATGCCTTCAGGAGCCTGATGCTTCTGGCCGTGGATGCTGGTCTAACTGGGGAGGACTATGTTTTCTTCCACCTGGATGTGTTTGGGCAAAGCCTTCAGGGTGCTCAAGGCCCAGCTCCCCAAAAGCCCTGGGAAAGAGGAGATGGGCTGGACAGCAGTGCACGCCAGGCCTTTCAGGTGAGTGCCGGGGTTTGAAGCCCAGGTGTGGGACTCTGAGCTGTTGACACATCATTTCCAGACACTATGGCCCTACATGTCTTGTCTGAAATGATTCCAGAGAACAGGTTTTTGATAGTCAGAGAGTTGTACAGTGAACTCCATGGGATTTGGAGGCTTCAGAGCCAGGAGGCGAAAACAGATAATGGAATGGATCTGTAATAGGAGGATATTAAAGACTGATGGACAGACAATCCTTGAATCTTTTGCTCAAGCACAGAGGCCACCTCATAAAGGACACAGGGTTCAATTTGATCTTTTTCTTATTTAATTTTGTTTTCTTTTGTTTTTGTTTGTTTGTTTGTTTTGAACCAGAGTCTGTCTATGTATCCCTGGTTGTTGTCCTGGAACTCACTGTATAGACCAGGCTGGCCTCAAACTCAGAGATTCTCTTGCTTCTGCCTCCTGAGTGCTAGGAATAAAGGTGTGTGCTACCACACCCATTCAATTTGATCTTGACCTAAACAGAGAGGCGGATCTGGAAGGTGGGACCCCAGGATACAGGAAGGACTGAAGTCAGTCAGCTCTTAGCACTCCCCTTTTCACTGATCCCTTCCTCAGGCTGCCAAAATCATTACTTACAAAGAGCCGGATAATCCTGAGTACCTGGAATTTCTGAAGCAACTAAAACTCTTGGCTGACAAGCAGTTCAACTTCACCATAGAGGATGGCCTGGTAGGAGGGGGTCCTAGAAACCTCCAGTGTGGATATCCATAACTAATGGCATCCCATTACTCCCCTTCTTCCTATTATTTCTGTATCTCTCCTGATGATAGAGGGGGACAGTGGCAAATTCAACCCTTGAACATAAAGTCCTCATCAGGGAAATGGAAATGACATAGCCTGCCCCTATCTGCCTAGCATGACTCTGAGTAGGGAGCAATGGTAGATGCTAAAGTATCCTTTAAGTCACATCTCCGTGGAATATGGTTGTTGCTTTCTGTATCCTCTTCCAAGCTCCTGGTACCCCCAGTTCCCTACCCACAGCACTACACTTTGTCACTCTGCCATTTATCTGTCTTTCCTGCCTGAGCTCTGCTTGCTTCTACAGGAGAATATCATCCCAGCATCCTTCCATGATGGGCTCCTGCTCTATGTCCAGGCAGTGACAGAGACTCTGGCACAGGGAGGAGCTGTCACTGATGGGGAGGACATCACTCAGCGGATGTGGAACCGAAGCTTCCAAGGTCAGGGCCTAGAATTAACTGGACCGGGCTGCTTTTGGAGAGAAATGAAAGTGAGCCCCTAGTGGCCCAGCAGGTTATCCAACCTGGTCTCCTAAATTCATTGTGTGTGCTGAATCTGCTATTCCCACTACCAACACAACTGTTCTTTTCACCATTATGCATATATCCATATTTGTGTCTATATCTCCATCGAGAGAGAGAGAGAGAGAGAGAGAGAGAGAGAGAGAAGAGAGAGAGAGAAGCTTGGGATGAAGTTAGGCATCACTAAACCTCCATTCTTTCAAAACACAGTTTTCCTCCCCTATGTCCCTAGGTGTGATGGGATTCCTTAAAATCGATAGCAATGGAGATCGGGAGACTGACTTCTCCCTCTGGGATATGGATCCAGAAACAGGCACCTTCAGGGTAAGTTCATGAATGCACCAAGAAGACAGTGCCAGGCAGGAATGGTCTCTCATCCTCCTACCCAGCCCCCAGCCCTGCCAGGTATCTCGTTACTCCTTGGGCAGCTATGAGAGCACTGGATAAGGCAGGCTCAACTCCTCAGTCTGGGGAACCACCAAAATGATCAGGATGCACAGGCTTCCCCCCTCAGGGAACCCCTTGAGTTCCTTAGACAGTTGGGACCCCCTGCTAGCAGAGACAGGTACTTAGGACCAAGGAGAATGCATATGTGCAGCTGTGTCAATGCAGCAGGGACAGGAAGGGACAGAGGTCAAAGGCACCAAGAATCTACCAGTGAAGGCTTCAGCAGTTGATTTTTTACTCGTTGCTCTTTCCTCTTTGGGGGTCCTGCCTCCCAGCTCCCAAATAAATCACACAGATGCTTATTCTTTCTTAGGAATGCCCGACCTTAGCTTGGCTTGTTTCCAGCCAGCTTTTCGTTAATTATTCTGTTTGTCTTTTACCTCTGGATTTTTATCTGTCTCTATTCTATATACCTTTCTTTCTTTCTTACTCTGGTTATTAAGCTGGGGGCTAACCCCTGATGTCCTCCTCCCTCTCTCTTTTTCTTTTCTTTTCTTTTTTTTTTTTTTTTTTGAGACAGGGTTTCTCTGCAGCTTTGGAGGCTGTCCTGGAACTAGCTCTTTTAGATCAAGCTGGTCTTGAACTCACAAAGATCCACCTGCCTCTACCTCCCGAGTGCTGGAATTAAAGGCATTCGCCACCACCGCCCAGCCTCCCTCTATGTTTCTTGCTCCACATCTCTCTCTCCCTAGATTTCTCCCCCTATTTATTCTCCATGCATGCCAGCCCTGCCTATCCTTTCTCCTGCCTTGCTATTGGACGTTCAGCTCTTTATTAGACTGATCAGGTGTTTAAGACAGGCAAAGTAACACAACTTCACAGAGTTAGACAAATGCAACATAAACGCTGGACATGGTGGTGCATGCCTTTAATTCCAGCACTTGGGAGGCAGAGGCAGGTGGATCTCTGTGAATTTGAGGCCAGCTTGATCTACAAAGCAAGTTCTAGGACAGCTAGGGCTGTTACAGAGAAATCCTGTTTCAAAAAAACAAAACAAACAAACAAAAAAGAAAGCAACATAAAAGAATGCAACACATCTTTGCATCATTAAACAAATGTTCCACAGCATAAACAAATGTAACACATCTTAAAATAATATTCTACAACAGGTAGGCCTGGAAGTGTAGACTGAGGTGTTATATCTGTCTTGTAACCAAATGCCAACTCCCTGAGTATAGAGTTGGAGTTTCCAGTGGGATTTCCTATGGGTAGTTCTCTGCAAAGCCTTTTAGTGTTGAAGTTTTTGCCCCTTTTGCCTTGGGCATGGATTTGAAGACTCTCTGGATAGTCACAACAGGAACCTGGTGAGTAGTTAATAGCCCAGATACAGGTCCTGGAAACAGAAAGGCAAGCAGGGGGTAAGATGACACAGAAGGCTACAGGCACTCACCACTCCTGATCTCCCTCAGGTCGTCCTGAACTATAATGGGACTTCCCAGGAGCTGATGGCTGTGTCAGAACGAAAATTATACTGGCCTCTGGGATATCCACCTCCTGACATCCCTAAATGTGGCTTTGACAATGAGGACCCAGCCTGCAACCAAGGTTAGTGGACTGGCCTATGCTTCCAAAGTCCTGTCGTAGAGACACTACCTCCTCCCTGGGGACTTAGAGGCTTCTTTCTGCCCGGCTGTGCCCCCTTCATTTGTCATCACAGTTGACTTTTAGGCAATTCCTCCTTCCTATTGTCTAACTCATCCTCTCTTCTACAACTTGGACCCTCCCACAGACCACTTTTCCACACTGGAGGTTCTGGCTTTGGTGGGCAGCCTGTCTCTGCTTAGCTTTCTGATTGTGTCCTTCTTCATATACAGGTAAGTTATGGACTGGGGTGCTAAGTGACGCTGGGCAGACTTGGGAGCACAGAAAATGGAGCAGGAGGAGAATAGGCCTGGGAAGGAGCTTCGCTTGGGAAAAAATACTTACTTCATTCCCTCAGGGAGGAGGCAGAAGCTCCAGATTGGAGTCTGGAAAGCATGGACCAGTCAGGTTGCTTCAAGCTGGGTTATAGCTACAAAGCTGTATTTAGGGAACTCAGAGGGAACAGAGAAGCTGGGGGTGACGTCATAGCAGAGGCGTGTTAATGTGGAACTGGCATCTTTGCTGAGACCAAATGGAAAGCAGTGGTTCAAACCTTCAGGTACTGGCCCAAAGCAGTTGGCCCTGGATGGTGAACCCTGCTGCGGGCCAGCTGCTGACCCTGGACCGGAAAAGTGGGGTGAGCCAGGTGGTGGTGGCGCACGCCTTTAGTCCCAGCACTCGGGAGGCAGAGGCAGGTGGATCTCTGTGAGTTCGAGACCAACCTGGTCTACAAGAGCTAGTTCCAGGACAGCCTTCAAAGCCATAGAGAAACCTTGTCTCAAAAACAAAACAAAACAAAACAAAACAAAACAAAAATCAGGGTGAGAGAGCCCACTCCTGCCCTCCAGTGCATGTGGAAATGAAAGTTCAGGGAAGGCTAAGGCAACAGGAAGAGAGGGAGGAGAGCGGTGCTGACTGAGCACATACTGTGTGCCAGGCGCTTCCACACTCCCGACAACACTTCATCCTTGTAGTCCACTGAGAATGAAATAGCTGGGTTGTGGTGGCACACCTTTAATCCCACCACTTGGGAGACAGAAGCAAGTGGATCTCTGTGAGTTCGAGGCCAGCCTGATCTATAGAGTGAGCTCCAGGACAGCCAGGACTGCATAGTGAGACCCTGTCTCAAAATAACAAAAAAGAAAGGAAGGAAGGGGGAAGAAAGAAAAAAGAAAAAGGAATGAAGTAAAAGTTGATATAGAGGCCTCCAGTTTCCAAAAGAAGGAAAGAAACTGAAGTGATTACCCTGGATCTCCTTCCTGTGAGATAGAATTTCCCTCAGGCCCCAGTCCTCCCAACTCTCAGCATCTCTTAGCACATGGAGCATCCCAGGGCTCTGAGGGGCTGCTGAGCACCCCACAGGGTCAGGGGCTCAGGTGCAGACTTCACATCCCAGGAAGATGCAGCTGGAGAAGGAACTGGCCTCAGAGCTATGGCGGGTTCGCTGGGAGGACCTGCAGCCCAGCAGCCTGGAGAGGCACCTTCGGAGCGCCGGCAGCCGGCTGACCCTGAGCGGGGTGAGACCACATTGTCTCTGGAGGGTGGGAATATCTGAGTACCACGGGAATGCCTGATAAGCAGCTAGAAGTGGCTCTAAGCTAGATGAGTTGACTCACACCTGGACCCAGGACTTGGGAAATTAAGACAGGAAGATTGCTGCAAGTCTGAGGCTAGCCTATGCTATAGAATGACACCCATCTTAGAAACCCAAAACTTAGTGGGGTGGTGGTGGCACACGCCTTTAATTCCAACACTCAGGAGGCAGAGGCAGGCAGATCTCTGTGAGTTCAAGGCCAGCCTGGTTTTTACAGAGTAAGTTCCAGGACAGTTACAACTAAAGAAAACCAATAGATAAATACATTAGTTAAAAAAAAAAAAGAAGGCAAAACACAAGTCTACCCCCAGTTCTGCCTTTACTTGCTCACTCTGACACTGTCTCAGATGGGGGTTACAGTTCCAGCCTCTCTGGCAAGGCTATTTCAAATGGCCTAAGTGAATACACAGCTATGAGTCTAATAATCTACACAAAATGGGGTGAAAGCTAGCCTTGGTGGCTCACACCTGTAATCCTAGCCTGGGAGGCTGAGGCAGTAGCATTGCTAGGAGTTCCAGGGCAGCCTGGACTAAAGAGCCATACCCTGTCTTGGGAGGGTGACACAGATAAGGGACAGTGTGCTAGAACTTCCAGGATAGAGAGTGTTTGTTCACCTCTTCAGCGAGGCTCCAATTACGGCTCCCTGCTGACCACAGAAGGCCAGTTCCAAGTCTTTGCCAAGACAGCATACTATAAGGTAGGTCTGGAGAAAGATTGATTATCTTTGGGACCCAGGTGGATCCCAGGTGTGCTCTGCGGACTAAGAGACGGGTCTGAGATGGGCCACCAGGGGACGGGGTGGTCCCAGGGGCACGGCTGGGCTTTCAGAAGCAACTGAGGGTGTCTCAGGCCATACTCTGTACCACAAGTCTCTATTTCTTGCTCAGGGCAACCTCGTGGCTGTGAAACATGTGAACCGGAAACGCATTGAGTTGACACGAAAAGTCCTGTTTGAACTTAAACATGTAATGTAGGGGAGTGAGGCTGTGGCCTGGGAAGGGACCCATGGGTACTCCAAGAGAGTTGGCCAACAGCACTGGCTGTGGAGGGATCTGTAGATCTGGGGTGGGCCCTTGAGTCTTGAGGGTAGTAGATAGCCTAGAGGGTAAGCAGTTAGGGAGCAGACTCCCAGGAAGGACATGTTAGCAAGCATGTGATTTGGTGAGGTGTGAAGCCTCTGCCAGGGCCTTGATGCCGCCCCAACCTGCAGATGCGAGATGTACAGAATGAACACTTGACCAGGTTTGTGGGTGCCTGTACCGACCCCCCCAACATCTGTATCCTCACAGAGTACTGTCCCCGTGGGAGCCTACAGGTGAGTGGAACAAGGGGTGTGTGTGTCAGGAATCCTGGCTCTAACCCTACTGACCATATGAACCCAGACAAGCATCCCTCTTTCTGGTTTTTCTTGGCCCTCTCTGTAAATGGGAGTTGGGGGGTGGGGGTGGGCATGGTGATGGTGCTAGAGTAAATCCAAGTGTCCTGTTGTACTGGTTTATGCCAGTAGCTCCCTTGTACCTCCTCCTATGCCCAGGGGGGTCTGACTCTTGCTGCCCCAGCAGGACATTCTAGAGAATGAGAGTATAACTCTGGACTGGATGTTTCGGTACTCACTCACCAATGACATTGTCAAGGTGAGTCCGGAGGAGCTCACTGGATGCCAGGCAAGGGCTGGGCATGGTTGGAAGTCACACTCATGCCCAAGCCCTCTGCCTTCCTAAATTTCCCAGGGAATGCTCTTTCTACACAATGGGGCCATTTGTTCCCATGGGAACCTCAAGTCGTCCAACTGCGTGGTAGATGGGCGCTTTGTGTTAAAGATCACGGACTATGGGCTCGAGAGCTTCAGAGACCCGGAGCCAGAGCAAGGACACACCCTCTTTGCCAGTGAGCCTGACTCTTGACCCCTAGGCCTTTGCTGCCAACACAGCTGAGAAGGGCAACTGAGGCCTAGCCTAGTTGACTTGGGTGCATCTCTCACTTCCAGGCTCAACCTTCATTGGTTAAAGAGGTCAGACTAAGTGGTCTCTTGCCCTCTCGTTCTCAGAGCTGTGGGGTGTCCACTGGAGTCCTAGCCACAGCCTTCTTCCCAGCTAATCTTCAACTGCCTCATGCTTTCTTTTCTCAGTGCTATCAGACCATGCTGTCTTACTTTTATTATTGCATTTATTACCCTTGAGATGATATTCATTTGCTAGTTTTCCTTTTCCTATCAGAATGTAAAATACCTTATCCCTCAGTTTTGAGGCTCCTCCTTCTGATCCACAGAAAAATTGTGGACCGCACCTGAGCTCCTGCGGATGGCTTCACCGCCTGCCCGTGGCTCCCAAGCTGGTGATGTATACAGCTTTGGCATCATCCTTCAGGAGATTGCCCTCAGGAGTGGGGTCTTCCATGTGGAAGGTTTGGACCTCAGCCCAAAAGGTGAGGATCATGTGGCCTATACACCAGCCAGTCTTGACTAATCCACCCCCAGAGAGGGAACCTCTGAAAACACCCCTACCCTTCCTTGTGGAGTGGGGTGTCAACCACATCCTTTGCTCTATGGCTACCAGTGACCAGTCCACTCTGTGCTCTGGACTGGAATTGCCCCACCTACCCCTGCTGGTTGCCCTTGGTAATGCCACTGTTCCGTGCATACCCCTTCCCACACAGAGATCATTGAGCGAGTGACTCGGGGTGAGCAGCCCCCATTCCGACCCTCCATGGATCTGCAGAACCACCTAGAGGAACTGGGGCAGCTGATGCAGCGGTGCTGGGCAGAGGACCCGCAGGAGAGGCCACCCTTTCAGCAGATTCGCCTGGCTCTACGCAAGCTAAACAAGTTAGTGGTCTCTTCCCACAACTGCCACCATAAATCCCACACTTAAATCTGTTTCCACAGTAGCAGAGGGAGCCCACTGCAGTCCGTCACAGCCTCACAGGCATCTGCATAGGTGTATAACTTGGCTGCCCTCACAGCTCACTACCGTTCACAGCTCTTTCTCTGCCAGCATTGACACCCCACACCCTGTCTGCTGGCAGCCCTACACTGACCTAAGAATACATGGCCCAGATGCCCCAGTCTCTTTCCTCCTCACTCCTTAGTCTCAAGCCTACTCAAAAGTTCCTACTCCAGCCTTTCTGTCTGCCTCTCCAGTAGACCCACTAGGGCCTAGTTTTCCCAGAGATGTCTCTCTGCTGCAACTCATCCTGTCTCACTTCCTCTCCACCTCCTTCCAACTCACTTGTGTTCCATGAGAATAAATAAGATATCCAGCTGGGCCCAGAGGAGGTGATGTCTGTGGGTTCGAGGCCAGCCTAGTCTACATGGCAAGTTCCAGGACAGCAAGGACTATTTAGAGAGACCCTGTCTCAAAGGAAAAGAAAAAGTGGTGAGTGCCTAAATGTGGACACTGCCAAGCAGGACTAGTCATCTCATCTGTGTCCCCGTGTGCCCCATGACCCTCAGGGAGAATAGCAGCAACATCCTGGACAACCTGCTGTCACGCATGGAGCAGTATGCCAACAACCTGGAGGAACTGGTAGAGGAGAGAACACAGGCTTATCTGGAGGAGAAGCGCAAAGCTGAAGCCTTGCTCTACCAGATTCTGCCTCAGTGAGTGTTCAGCTGTGGACACAAGCATCCCCACGCATGTACGCACGCACATCCAAACAATCCATAGCTCAGTCCTTCCCGCCTCACCTTCTGGTCTCTACCTGCCCTCACCCCTCAGCTCTGTGGCTGAGCAGTTGAAGAGAGGCGAGACAGTCCAGGCTGAGGCCTTTGACAGTGTTACCATCTACTTCAGTGATATCGTGGGCTTTACAGCTCTTTCGGCAGAGAGCACACCCATGCAGGTAAGTGGAGTTCAGACACAGGCAACAGGCCAGTAGGTCAGCTTGGCCTTCTGGTTAGCACTCCCCATTTGTCCCTGGTGGGAGCCCACATTCCCCATTTCTCTTGGCTTCCCTTGCCTTCCAGGTGGTGACCCTGCTCAATGATCTGTACACCTGTTTTGATGCTGTCATAGACAACTTTGATGTGTACAAGGTGAGCTTGTGAGTTGGTGTGTATAGGAAGAACAGGCAGATGTGGACAGTCAGAAAAATGTTCAGAGAGGTACACTGGATGAAAAACAAAAACAAAAACAAAAGGCCAGGCAGTGGTCATGCCTTTAATCCCAGCACTCAGAGGGCAGAAGCAGGTATGTCTGTGAGTTCAAGGCCAGCCTGGTCTACAGTGAGTTCCAAGACAGCCAGAGCTACACAGAGAAGCCCTGTCTGGAAAAAACAAAAGAAAACAAAGACCAAGGACATAGTTGAAGAGACACAGAAGGACCCAGGAACAGACAGAGAAACTGTGGGGATGGAGGATGAGTACAGTGACAGGCAGGCTGATAGGAACAGAATCGCAGACAGTGAACATGGTTTGGCAGGTTCACCAGCACAGGGAAAGCTCCAGTCCTCCGGTCCTTCATTCCCATGCCACCCCCACAGGTGGAGACCATTGGTGATGCTTACATGGTGGTGTCAGGACTCCCAGTAAGGAATGGACAGCTCCACGCCCGAGAGGTGGCCCGAATGGCTCTTGCACTGCTGGATGCCGTGCGCTCCTTCCGCATCCGCCATAGGCCCCAGGAGCAGCTGCGCTTGCGCATTGGCATCCACACAGGTCAGACCGCAGAAGGCTGAAACTAGGGAACAAGCAGCTGTTCCTTGCCTAGTCCCCTTTTCCCCTGCCTCTCCTTACACATCCTGGGACCACACATTCCAGCTCCCACCTCTTCTGGAGCCCACCTACCTCCTCTAACATCCTGGGCTCTGTTCCCTGCTTTTTCCCTCCCAGGTCCTGTGTGTGCTGGTGTTGTAGGGCTGAAGATGCCCAGATACTGCCTCTTTGGAGACACAGTCAACACAGCTTCAAGAATGGAGTCTAATGGGGAAGGTAGGATGGCCCTCCTAGAGGGAATGAGAAGGGCAGCTGGCCAAGGCAGCCTGCTAGTTATGCCTAACTAGCTCCTAAGCTAGCTGCCCTTTCTCTCCCTCCCACACAGTATTCTCATAAAACATGTGTCCCCCAATCTAGACTATTGCTGTGTGTGTGTGTATGGTGTATCGTGTGTGTGTGTGTGTGTGTGTGTGTGTGTGTGTGTGTGTGTGTGTGTGTGTGTGTATTGAAAATGTACTAAGCCCTTGCCAGGTGGTGGTGGTGGCACACACCTTTAGTCCCAGCGCTTGGGAAGCAGAGGCAGACGGATCTTTGTGAGTTTAAGACCAGCCTGGTCTACAAGAGCTAGTTCCAGGACAGTCTCCAAAGCCACAGAGAAACCCTGTCTCGAAACACCCCCCCCCCCAAAAAAAGAAAGAAAATTCACTAAGCCCACCTTACCTATGAACACTGTAGCTTAGTTAGGTACCTGAAATGTTTTCAAGGAACTTTCTCTAGCCAACAACTGAGCAACATGATCTAACACAATCCCCTTTTCCTTCTATGTGTGGTATTAAGAGATTTAGCAAGTGCCTTAACACTGAGGTATGTGATAGAAGATATTTATATTCTTTTTTTTTGGGGGGGCGGAAGTTCAACGCAAGGTTTCTCTGTAGCTTTGGAGGCTGTCCTGGAACTAGCTCTTGTAGACCAGGCTGGTCTCGAACTTACAGGGATCTGCCTGCCTCTGCCTCCAAAGTGCTGGGATCAAAGGTCTTGAGCTTACAGTTCTATTGCTGCAGTCTCCAAGTAGCTGGGATTACAGACCTAAGAGACCAGGCTGGAAAACGAAGTTTATTTTATAATAACAAGTATTGAATGTGCTCATACACCCACAAAGATAGGTGTTTTGCTAGTGAGATGGCTCAGTGGGTTAAGGTGCTTGCTGGCCAAGCCTCATGACCTGAGGTTGATACCTGAGACCCACATGGTATCAAGGGAGAAGGGATCCCCACAAGTTGTCCTCTGACCTCCATATACCCCTCACATACCCACATTCATATGTACTCGTAAAATAGATAAAAAAGGCCAGGCAATGATGGCATACACCTTTAATCCCAGCACTCAAGAGACAGAGGCAGGCAGATCTCTGTGAGTTTGAGGCTAGCCTGGTCTACAGAGTGAGTTCTAGGACAGCCAAAACTACACAAAGAAACCATGTCTTGGGAAACCAAATAAATAAATAAACAATAAAAATAGGAACCATGGGAGCTGGAGAGATGGCTCAGAGGTTAAGAGCACTGACCGCTCTTCCAGAGGTCCTGAGTTCAATTCCTAGCAACCACATGGTGGCTCACAACCATCCGTTATGAAATCTGGTGCCCTATTCTGAAGCAGAATGTTGTATACATAATAAATAAATAAAATCTTAAAAAAAAAAATAGCAACCACAATGTGCCAGAAGTGTTAGAGCACATATTTACTCCCAGTACTTGGGAGGTAGAGGAAGGCAGATTTCTGAGTTCAAGGTCAGCCTATTCTAAATAGTGAGTTCCATGACAGCCAGAGCTACCCAATGAGATCCTGTCTTGGAAACAAAACAAAAAACAAACACATTCTGACATACAATGTCCAAAATTGTCTTCTCCACCCACAATGAATAAATAAATGTAATAAAAATTTAAAGACTTATGAGAGAATGCAGTGCAAAATGCCAAGCATTTTATTGTCATTCATCTCTTCTGGGTCTCAGCTACTCCATATAGTATTCCTATTTGAGGGTTGTAAGAGGTCTAGCACAACTCTGGGTAGGCAGTAGGCATCTAATAAATGCTTATTTTTCCCCTCCCTTCGGCCTTGCCTCCTGTTTCTTCTATGTTTGTCTACTAGGTGGTTGTTTGAGATCATATCTCAAGTTGCCACAGCGGACTTGAATCCTAACCTTCCCCTCACCTGAATGCTGAGAGCACAGGATTGCCCCACCTTGCCCTGTTTTTATCTGTTTTTGTTCTGTTATTTTTGTCTTGAGATAGAAACTTACTATGAAGTCCAGGCTGAGCTGAATCCCTTCCACTGCAGCCTCCCAAGCCCTAGAATTACAGACAGGTCCCTGCTATATTTGAGGTAGTTATCAATTGAGTAAAAAGTTACCAAGCAACTACCTACAACCAGGCTTCATGAGCTGAGAAGGCCATGTGACCCTCACCTGAGCCTCGTGGTGGGAAGCCTGCCCCCAAAGCCCAGAGAAGTCCTGCTCAGCTGATAGTCTTTGCACCTATGTTTGGAGCAGAGGTAGAAAAGAACTCCTCTCTCAGGTCATCTTTTGCCGAGCACACTCTCAAAAATGTGTCAGCAACACAGGATACCATGAAGACACAGGTCAGCGTGCCTTCCAGAAAGAGTGTGGGAACGGAGGGGCCTCACTGACCTCCTGGACAGCTTGAGCAGACCTCCTGCCATGAAACGAGTACTGACTCCCGCAGGTGGTACAGTCCTATAATCCCAGCACTTGGGAGGCTGGAGTAGGAGGACATTTCAGGCTAGCCTTGGCTACAGAGTGAAACTATGTTTCACAAAATGGTGTGGGTGTGGGTGTGGGTGTGTGTGCATGTGTGATGTGGTGGGGTACGGCATCCAGAGAGATGGCTCATTGGGTAAAATGCTCACTGTTCAAGCATGAGGTCTTGAGTTTGGACACTAGAGCATGTAACCCCAGCACTGCCCGGAGGGACAAAATAGGCAGATCCCTAGAGCTCACTGGCTAGCCAAATCTAGCCCAAACAGTTAAGGCTCAGACACAGTGAGACCCTAGGTCACACAGTAAAATGGAGAGTGACAGGAAATTCAAGATTCACCTCTATCTCCAGGTGTGTACACACTGTATGCATACTAGCATTGAGTCAAGTACTGATCTCAACAGCCAACAGTGTTTCCTGTGTGCCACACTGTGTCCAGATACTTTGTGAATGTTTTATGTGCTTATCTGAAGTGCTGGAAATCTAAGCCGGGTGAATGAGAGTGGGGTTAACTTCCCTTATAGCACCCACCCTTTAAAACGAGCACTGTCACTGTTAGCCTTTTATAGACTAGGGAGACAAAACAGGTTTATCTTAGTTACCTGGAGTCCAAGCTGAGCTCCACACTGAGTTAGAGCAGCATTTGCAGTGTGGGTTCCTCAACAGTGCCATGCGCCCCCTCAGGAGCTGGCTGAGTCTCCAAAGCAGTGTGTGGGACAGTGTTTTCCACAGTCACAAAGATGCTCTGTAATCCATAGGTACAGTATTGTGGCCTTGAGTATCATCTGGCAATTGATGACTTAAGAGATGTCCTGGGAGCTGAGAGTGTGACTTAGTCCTTAGAGTGCTGGCTTCACAGCAGAAAGCCCTGGGTTCAATCTCTGGCACCACATAAACCAGATGTGATGTTTGCCTGTCATCCCAGCATGTGGGAGGAGGCAGGAAGATCAGGAGGGAAAAGTCAGTTTAAGTAAGGAGGTCTTATCTCAAAAGAGAGGTGAAGAGGACTTGGCAGGGCCAGAGTGATGGCTCAGCAGCTAAGAGCACACACTGCTCTTGTAGAGAACCCAGGCTATGTAGTCACACTTTACAAGGACAGTCCAGGACTTTCTGAGCTAAAGAAAGCAATTGCTGTCCACCCCACATTCCCAGTCTTGTCTGTCTGACCCTCCTGCTCCCGCCCCCGGGACTCCTCAGCTTCCTCCACCCCATCCTCTCCAGCCCTCAAGATCCACTTGTCTTCTGAGACCAAGGCTGTGCTGGAGGAGTTCGATGGTTTCGAGCTGGAGCTTCGAGGGGATGTGGAGATGAAGGTAGAAAGGAACTACCTTAGATCCCAGGCCACGCCCATGCTTAACCTTCTCAAGTGACTCCTGCAAGTGGTGCCATTCCCTACCCAGCCTCCTCTTTTTTATTTCTTCCAGGGCAAAGGCAAGGTTCGGACCTATTGGCTCCTGGGGGAGAGGGGATGTAGCACAAGAGGCTGACCTACTGCTCCTGCTGTCCATCTCATCACCTCTCTTCCCTGTGCGGAGATACCAGAGGCATCTAGCTTCCACCTCTCCCACAGCAGCCCAACCACTGTGGAAAGATTGGGGACCTGAGCTGTCTTCCAGCACAGTCACCAGATGTGACCTCGGAGAGGATGGAGACGGTGGGGGCAGGAAGGGAAACCCTGGAGCTTGTAGGGCTGACTAAATAAATGCACAGTCACTCCTGGTGGCACACTTCCCTGGCCCACCCTTACTCAGCTGCCAAAATTGGGAAGGGGATTTCTTCTCCTCCCTCAACTTGGCTCCACTGTAACTTTTATAGGAAGGGAAATTGCCACCTGAGGGGAATAGAAAAGGAAACTCTAGGAGTTTGCAGGAGAGCAGTCATGTGACACAAATACTCCCTCATTCCCACTCCACCCCCGCAGACCTTGGACACAGTGCACTAGGGAGAAGAAAGGCTATGGGTCCCCATGCCTTGGTTCTCTTATGAGCAAAAACCATTAAAGTCTTTATTCCTGTGGACAGTCTCTTCTTGAGGGAGAGAGGGTTGCTAGGAAATGGTCATGTTCTTTCTCTACCCTCTACTTCCAAAAGAGTTACCTTCAACTTTGTTTCTTTTTGTTACAAATTTTATGCTTTTAATTTTATGAATTCTAATCAACTTTTGTTTATGTGTATTGTGTCTATTGATGCTGGTTTTGGTAAAGCACACCTTTAGCCTTTAGTCCCAGCACTCGGGAGGCAGAGGCAGGTGGATCTCTGTGAGTTCCAGACCATCCTGGTCTACAAGAGCTAGTTCCAGGACAGCCTCCAAAGCCACAGAGAAACCCTGTCTCGAAACACCCCTCCCCCCCCAAAAAAAAAGAAAGAAAAAAAATCCAAATAAAGTATTGAGGAAGTATCTCAGTGATAAAAGGCTTGCCCAGCATGTACAAAAGCCCTATACCAATTCTCTAAATCACTAAAGAAATAAGAAAACACAAGTCCTTATGTATTCATACATTCAACTTCATAATAAACTGTTACACATTGTTATTATTATTATTATTATTATTATTATTTTACTATTTTACAAGGACATATTTTGGTTTGGTTTGGTTTGGTTTTGGCTTTTAGGAGACAGAGTTTAGCCCTGGCTGTCATTTGTAGACCAGGCTGGCCTCTGACTCTTGAGCTCTTGGCAATCTTCCTCCTTAAACTTCCCAAGTATAGCTATTAGAGGTGTGAGCCCCATGCCTGGTTTTCACAAAGATGTTCTTGTTGCTTTTTAAGTAAATGTGTGCACAGGCTTGAAAACAATCTCTAATGTCACCTTCAGAAACACCATCCACCTCTTTAATGAAGTTTTTAGATTTATTTGTGTGTACTGAGTGTTTGGCCTGTTTGTATGTCTGTGCACATATGTCTGGTACCCTGGTACAGAGGCCAGAAGAGGGCAAGGGATCTTCTGGAAATGGAGTTACAGGTGGTTGTGAGTTATGTGAATGTTGGGAGCTGAACCTGGGTCCTCTGCAAGAGCAGCAAATGCTCTAACTGCTGGGCCTTCTCTGTGTCACCTCCGCTCACTTTTGAGATAGTCTCTCCTTAGCCTGGAGCTTAACAAATAGACTCCACAGACGACAGGCCAGTGAGGAGCTCCATCTCCCACTTCCCCCCCAGTGCTAGGAAAGTGTGGTGCTTAAGCTTTCTAGGCAAACCCCTGACAGAATGGGCTATCTCCCCACATCAACAAGGACATTCTCAGTGGTGACCATAAGTAGCCAGTGCTCTTAACCACTGAGTTATCTCATGGAGCCTTTTACTTTAGATGATACTTTGATTTTTATTTACTTTGTGTGTGTTGGTAGGGGACAGGCTCACATAACCCAGAGCACACATGTGAAGGTCAGAGGTCAGCTTTTAGGATTCAGTGCTCTTCTTCCACCAAAGCACCTTTACCTGTTGAGCCATCAGACTGGCCCTTAGGGATCTCCTGAAAACTCAGTTGTGGGCTGCAGAGATGGCTCAGAGGTTAAGAGCACTGGCTATTCCTCCCGAGTTCAAGTCCCAGCAACCACGTGGTAGCCCACAATCATTTATAGTGAGAGCTGGTGCCCTCTTCTGTCGTGCAGGCATACAGTTGGGCAGAACACTGTGTATACAATAAATTAAAAAATCTTTAAAAAAACAAACTCAGTTGTGATGTGGGAATTGGGATCTTCATCTCCTTGTACTCTATTATCTATGTTGGTGTAGGCAAGTGTGACTTCACCCACTGCCCCTCAGGAAGGCTAGAAATGCCAGGCAGTTGGTAGAATTCTTGACTAGGATTCATGAATCCCCAGGTTCCAGCTGACACTGAATTGGTCAATTGTACTGATCCAGGCCTCTAATTCCACCCTCCCAGAGGGATGGAGGTCACCCTTGACTGTCAAGTTGGGGGTCAGTGTGGGCTCCATAATAACCTGTCAAAAATTAATGAAGCCCGAACTGGATCCAGAGTTCTCCTTTCCCAGCTGCAGCCACCTAGCACCTTCCTAAGCAGTCAGGCAGGAATGTGGGGGAGAGGTGTAGCTTCGCTTCCCCCACAGGCAAGGAACGCGCCAAACATTTCTTCATTACCATCCATCAAATGCGGACTGGCCTCTGCCCTGACCTCCCCAGGCCTCTTCCTGCAGGCTGTGCCCAGTGTGACCTGGTGGCAGGGTGGAACACCAGGGGCTTAAAGGTCTGCTCACCAGACAGTGTTCTTTCGTATACCAAAGGTGTCTCTGGAGGTCTGATGAGATTTATTGAAAGAGGGTGCTTACACTCACCAGCCAAGCTTCTGATGAAAAGCTAAAGGAAAGATGGTTGTCCTGGCAACCACTGCACTCTCAACTTTCCTGTGGGCCCTGGTAGCCATTTTAACTCCCATGCCCAATTCTTCCTCCCAGGAACTGTGGACAGTCCCCCGGGAGAAGCTATGATGTAACTACTGGTGCCTACGAGATGATACACCGGGCCTGAGCCATCCAGAGAGACTGGCTTTGGGGAAGAGAGATTGAGATGAGGTGGAGAAGGGGGTGGGGAGCTGAATGACTGAGGAGCTAGATCCTTCCGGGGCAGCCAGGCTCCAGCGGGCACTGGGAGGGGAGGGGGCTGGGAGGGGGCCCTGAGGAGACGCCAAAGGAGCAGATAATTTCTGCAACCCCAGAACTTTCACTGGAACTGAGGAGACTTCCTTCCGGAGTTAGGCCCCTGAAGCCAGGAAGAACTGGGAAAGCCATTACGGGGGGGAGGGGGGGCACCAAGCAGGGGCTCCCGCCCATGTGGGAGGGGCTGTCTAGCCTCAGCGTTTCCTGGGCTGTCCAGCCTAGTGGGCTAGGAGGAGGGGTGGAGAAAGGCAACAGGGTTTCCCTGGAGTGTGATTTGTGTAATAACAGCAACAATTGGCATTCGGCTGTGTGTGCCTTACAGTTGACAAAGGCTTTCACATACATTATCTCATCAGCCCACGTGACAGCCCTGAAAGAGGAGAGCAGACCAAGTAGGCCACCCAACTGCGGGTAGGAAGGCCCAGCAGAGGTCCAGCTGTAGACACACAGCTCCAACAAGGCCAGGACCTGGAAAAAACAGAGCTGACATAAGCAGACAAATATCTTCCCCTACTCCCAGCGTCTGTTTTCTCTACGTCAAAGCGCTCCGGTAATTTATCATAGTGCTTCATTTATTTGCTGCAAAATAATTCATACCTTTAAGGACAGATCTATGATATCTAATTAATGGCAGAGACCAGTTTTGCAGCCTTGAAGCCATTTTTTAAAATTAAGTTGCAGAAACCAAAAAAAAATTTTTTTAATTAATCATTTTTTTTTAATTTCAAAAAGATTTAATCTCTCTGGGTTGGAATGCAAGTAAGATGAAGGACTAGGATGCTGATAAATTTGGGGTTGCACAAAACAGGGATGAGGATGTTCATGAGGAGGGTGAGGCTGGATGTTTGCTGGAGGACACAGCCCTGCACTGTCACAGCACAGGGAGGAGTCCCTTCCCTCTTAGGGACCTCCATTCAGTTATGCTGGATCCTTGACTACTCAACTGAAAAGAATTTCAGAACAAGCCAAAGGGAAGCAAAGTTAGTGAGATTATTAGAGTTATATAGGAAAAGGACCATATGCAATCTGAAATCCCAAGACACAGGTGTGTGGTTGCCATTGGCTATCTTTACAATAACTGTGTGGCCAGATGGTGGCAAAGTCCTTAATCCCAGCACTCAGGAGGCAGAGGCAGGAGGATCTCTGAGTTCAAGGCCAACCTGGTCTACAGATTTCCAGGATAGCCAGGACTACATTGAAAAATCTTGTCTCAAAAAACCAAAAATAAAACAATAAAACAATGGCTATGTAAATGCATATATGTATAGACAATATATATAGTGAATATATGTGTGTATATAAATACAATAAAACATTGACTATGAGAATGTATACACATATAGAGAGTATATATAGTGAATATATATGTGCATATAAATACAATAAAACAATGGCTATGCAAATATATATGTATAAAGTAAATACATGTGTGTATATAAATACAATAAAACAATGGCTATGTGAATCTATATATTTAAAGTGTATAGATGTATATATGTGTAGAATATATATAGAATGTGTATATTATAGAATGTATATGCGGTGAATATATATGCATATGTACAGACATACACACAATGCTATACATGTATAGAGAGCATATAGAGTGAATATGTATGTGTATTTACATACGTACACACATTGCTCAAAGGATGTATACAGTTTAAAGATTAGGTAAAGCAAAAGACTAAAAAAGAATAGGTAAAGCTTAAAATGGAAAGTTAAAAGTTAAAAATACTCTGGGTAGTGGTGGCATACACCTTTAATCCCAGTACTCGGGAGGCAGAGGCAGGCGGATCTCTGTGAGTTCGAGGCCAGCCAGCCTGGTCTACAAGAGCTAGTTCCAGGACAGCCTCCAAAGCCACAGAGAAACCCTGTCTCGAAAAACTGAAAAGAAAAAAAAAAGTTAAAAATACATAAGCTATTTTATTTGGGTTAGAGACAGGGTCTCATGTGGCTCAAGCATACTTCTTCTCAACAGGGTGGCTGTCAACTTCCGATCCCCAGACTGAGTCCCTCTCAAATGCTGGGGTTACAGGTGCACACCACCTCACCAGTTTATACCATGTGGAGGGGAGATCCCAGGGCTTCCTGCATAATGGGTAAGCATTGTACCAAGTGAACCACAGTCTCAGGCCTACAATTTTTTCCCTTAATTTTTTGGCTCTAGAGAGATGGTCCAGTGAGTAAAGTGCTTTGCTGAAGAGGCACTGATTTCCCATAAAGCCTGGATGGAGCAGCAGCACTGTCTGTAACAACAGTGCTGGGCTGGAGGGGAGCTAGCTGGCCACACAATCCAGTCAAACCTGCAAGCTCAGGATGCAGTGAAGAGACCCTGTCTCAAACAATGAGAGTGATAGAGACTGACACCTTGATAAAGGAGGACCCACCTTCCAGAGGGACCTTGGCAGGTAGGTCCAAACCACAGTGGGTGAGGGATAAACACGCCAAGCAGACAAAGCTTACATGGGAACTTTTATTGGGGGAAGGGAAGAGAGTGGGAGAAGGAAAAGGAGAAAGGGGAGAGAGAAACAGAGAGAGGGAGAGAGGGAGACAGAGACACACAAACACAGACAGAGAAAGAGAGAGAGAGAGAGAGAGAGAGAGAGAGAGAGAGAGAGGCAAAGACCTGCCTGCCTCTTCAGAGAAGCAGCAGGAAGGAGAAAGCTGGAATGGGTGGAGCTTGTCTCTTAAAGGGGCCTTTTGCACCTGAGTACAGAGCCAGGGTACTGCCTGCCATGCTTGCAGGGGTGACACACTCTGCCAGGTCCCCAAGGGGCAGGGCCAAGGTGTGCCTGGATGCTAACACACCTGAAGTTAACCTTTGTCCTCCATTTGCGTTATACACAAGTGCCTGGTTAGTCACACACACCACACACAAAGACCCACAAAAGAATTCTGGGCCTGAGGACGTAAGTG